CTTCTTCATGCACTTTCATACGAAATCAAAGTCCCACCAAAAATGTTATTTCAGGCGATTCATCGAAGCTCAGTTTTTCTTCGTATCTACAGTAGATCATATTTATGAGGTATACTTATTCTTAGGTTTAAGCTGTTAAGAGGACTGATAGTTAAATTTTCCCACAACCGCCTGAATGAACGTTACTTTTGCTTTGAATTTCACACAGTTTTGCTTCCAAACAGGCAGAATTTGATTGGGAAAAATGCCTGGCCTGCCTTGAAATTCACGTCTTCCCTGCAAATGTAGCGTGGTTTAAGTCCCGTTTGGAGTGCTGATGAGACCAATTGTGGCGAGGTTGAAACAGGGCTATATGAAATTGAATGGAAACGAAAGGTCTACCCAACTGATTGTGGGAAAATTCAACTACCACTTCCCTTATCACCTTAAATGAAATAGAATTAATACATATTATTATCATTATAAAAGGACTTTGTACTGTTGTAATTATACCGAGTGTCTAGTGGGGTCGTCAACAGGTCTTCTGCTACTGTCACACGAATATGCTATGAAAGAACTTTACTTACGTACATAAATATATGATTATCGTGAATTCTGTAAATCTTCCATCAAATTAATTGTTTGCATCTCGGTTTCTCCGCGATTGTTTACTCCCTTTTAGTCCTCGTTTCTCCATCGTCCCTGCAGACAGCCGACTTTGGTGGGCTCGGTGGCACTGGGAGACCCTTTGACGTCGGCCGTGCCTGTGGAACCGGTCTATGACAGTGTTCCCGACGGCCTTTGTGACGACGAGGAGGCCAGCTGCTGCGTCGACGATGACATGAGCCGAAAGCGGAACGAGAAGAATGCAGACGTTGACGCGGAGGGTGACAACAATACGGAGGCCTGGATTAGTCGCTTGCAGCCTCGGCAAGCGTTTGATCCTCATCGCCAACAGACCGAGGAGATGGCAGTTGCCCGCATCCCCTGGCCCTCTCCGCCATCGCTGCCTCCTCCCTCCCGATCGCCGTCACCCGCCAGATCCAACTGGTCTGGACAGCAGCTCAGCAACAGCGACAATCGAATGCAGAACAGACCTCTCGGAGGTGATGCTGCCGACAGTGCTTCGCTGCCTACCAACCGGCGCAGATCGCAACAGTGCGAAAAGTCTGAGAAAACCGGCTCGTCGGAGGGCAACCAGAGCGTGGAACGACCATCGAATAGGCAAGTTCACCGGTCCGAAACCCACAGAACGGTCACGGATTCGTTGATCGTCTCGGAGACCCGTGCTGGCAGGCGATTGGGTGCCGCTCGGGGCCGTGGAGCAGTGCTCACGACAACGGCTCATGTGCAGCTTCACAAGCCCTGTCGTGTTGTGCCGGGAGAATGCAAAGAGTCTGTTGGCAACTTGAACGGGACATCAGAAACGCTTCAGGTAGGCACGAGAAGGCAAATGCAGTCGAGACCCTCACGACGCAACAGAAGCGGGCAAATTTGTCACAAATCGCTTAAATATATGAAGACCAAGATGTTGTGGCCTCTGGTTTGGTCGCAGTCTCCTTTCGATTGATAGAAGTGGGTTGACCTCGTTGTCGCAACTTGGTCTTGTGTTCAGGGAGACCAGGTAGAACGCACCTAGTCCGAAGTCGTCTGCCATAGTAGTTGTCATGATAACCAACATCAGATAGTCGACTTGGTACATTCTCAGACGTTTCGCCGGCATCGTAGTCGGCATCATCAGTCAGTTTTGCCATTCGCCGCACCAAGACAATAAAGGGATCCGGATTGGAGGCCCGAGTCGGATAAGCCGATAGGAAGAGAGGGGTTGGGGTA